GTAGGTTTGCGTCGTGTCGACCGGCGGCGACCCCAGCGCGGGCGTTCAAGGTTGAACGCCGCCGGCGACCCAGGATCGATCGATGTTGAACGATCGGCCGTTGCGGCAGCGGCCGATCGTTTAAGGTTGAATGATCCCTGCGGTGTCAAAAACCAACGCTGGGGTCGGCACGACACGAACTTGCCGTACTGCTGCTGACCTGCCAGTCTCGCGAACCCTGGGCGGCGACAGTGTGCCCGTTGTCCCAGCTGGCCAGATGCTTGTTTGTAGGATTGCGCCGACGTCGCGACGCACCACCGCCAGCATCGACGCCAGGCTGCTCACCCGGAGCGGCCCCGCCCCGACAACGCGCCTAGACTTCAGTCGGGCGTGTCCCTCTACAGGAGGAATCTTCAAGAATAGCCCCAAAAATAGTCCGGGGACGATTTTTTTTGACCACTGTGAGTGTTTTTTGGAGTATGTCTGGACTGTTCTTTTTTTTCTGCTTGTCTCCAGAGCCCGCCTGTAGGAGGACGTGCCCGCCCGAAACCCAGACCCCGACACCTGCGCGTGGGTTTGCTGCCATCGCCGGGCAAGACATGTTCGCTCTCGCCTCGGGCGGGCGGCAACGGGGCCGCAATCTGCGCAGGGGGATCGAGGACCGTCGGCGAGTGGCCCCAGAGTGGCCGAGCCCTCGACCTGCCGCCTGCCGCCGTGGGCCCCACGGGTGCACGAGAGGTGCACTCTTCTTCACCCCCCGTCTGTCGCCCCCTCGGTTGGCGAACACGTCCTCCTCCTCCCCCCCCCTCCTCCCTCCGCCTCCTCCTCCCCCTACCTCGTCCCTCCTCCACCTTCCCTCCTCCCCTCCTCCTCCACCTCTCCTCCTCCCCCTCCCTCGTCCTCCTCCTCCTCCTCCTCCTCCTCCTCCTCCGCCTCCTCCTCGCTCCTCCCCTCCCCCGTCCTCCTCCTCCTCCTCCTCCTCCTCCTCCTCCTCCTCCCCCGTCCTCCTCCTCCTCTTCCACCATCTAAGCCTCCTAGATGGGGTCAGAGTAGATGGGGTCGGAGGATCGCGCCGCGTCGCCGATGCATCGCCGATGCGGCTCGATGCGGAGCCCGATTTCTCGTCGACGTCACCGATTCATTGCCCACGTCGCCGATACATCGCTGGTGCATCGCCGATGCATCGCCGATACATCGCCGATGCATTGCCGATGTATCGGCGATGCGGCGCGGTCCTCCGACCCCATCTGCTCCGACCCCAGCTGGGAGGCCTCTACGCCAGGGGGTCTTGCACGGGTCCATGCGGGACGACGTTGGTTTGACCTCTCAGGTATCACGCGTGCTTGGGGACGCGTATGAGCGACGCAGACAAGCGGGGTCGTCCACAACGACATTGGCGCGTAAGCTGCCCGCGTAGGGTCGCGCGTGAGCGATTTCGTTTCCACTGTAGCGTGCCGCGCTGGCGGCCCCCCGCGTAAGCCATCGCGAAAGGTCGCTGTGTCATCTTGCGTAAGACTCGTTTGGTTTCATCGCTCATTTGTTTACCTCTTTGAAGCGCTGCATGCCTACCGAATGCTGGCAGGCGCCGCGCTTGCACCCCCCCCCCCACCCCAGGGCACATTCTCAAAGCACCGCGCAGGACGACCCGTGACCACGTCGACTCGTCACTCCGTCAACGCGTCAACGCGTCGATCTGTCAACCTGTCAACCCTTAGCGCGCAGAGGACGGTATGAACGAAACGTTCCCGCGCGACCAGGGACGCGGCCGGAAAGCTTATGCCCCAGGCAGGGGTATACGTTTCCCAGTCGCCCAGGGGGCGGACGTCCCCGACGGCGGAACAGTTCTATGCCGGCTGCGAAATCCCGTTGGCGAGCCATCTCGCCATCATCATGTAAGACATCAGCGACCAGGAGGGGGAGGAGGAGGAGAAGGATGAGTAGGAGGAGGAGGCGGACATAAGGAGGAGGAGGAGGAGGAGGAGGAGGAGGAGGAGGAGGAGGAGGAGGAGAGGAGGAGGAGGAGGAGGAGGAGGAGGAGGAGGAGGAAGAGGACTACCCCCTAGGACCCCTCCCCCTGGGGAGGAGGACCGGATGTGCTCTGCAGATTCCCCAATCAGAGCTTGCCTCTGTAGGGGTCCTAGCGGAGATTCATATGGTTAGGTTAGGTTTGCCACCGATTTTCGCTGCACGCCCGGGTGCCCAGTGCCCGGGGGTGCCTGGGTGCCCGGGTGCCCGGGTGCCTGGGCGTGCCCGGGGATGCCCGGGTGCCCGCCCGGTAGCCCTATAGCCTTATAATCCTAGAGCCTTATAGCCTTATAGCCCTACAGCCCTATAGCCCTCTAGCCCTACAGCCCTATAGCCCCAATAGCTTTATAACCCTATAGCCCTAATAGCTCCATAGCTTTTTACCCTTAGAATCCTATAGCCATATAGCCCTATAGCCCTATAACCCTGTAGCCCTCTAACTCTCTAACCCTCTAGCCCTATAGCCCTATAGCCTTATGGCCCTATAACCTTATGGCCATATAGCCCTATAGCCCTTTAGCCCCATAGCCCTATATTTTCAAAAGATAATCATTTTTTTCTGGTATGATTATTCCTTTGCATCGGATCGTGAGGGTTGAGACCAGAAAGCCACGATGTGCAGACGTGTGCGGGTTTTGTTTCAGTGGGCGCAGGGCCGAGCCGCCCTCGGGACCCGGCTGGGGAGCGGCCGGGGGGGCGGTTGGGGCCAGGCCAGGGCTCGGCTGGAGCAGAGCTCGGGGCTCAACGTGGATGAGGTGCGGATTCAGGCACCGTTTGCGCCTGCACCTGCACGTGTCTGCGCTGCACCTGCACGTGTCTGGCGTGTCGCCCGGCGGCTTTGTTCGGCGTGTCTCGGGTCTGACCCCAAGCGCCCTTTGCACGTGTTTGGCGTGTCGCCCGGCTGTTCAGGCGAGTGTTTAGCGCGTCTCAGGCTTGCGCCAGCGCGTCCTGCTGGACGCACGGCTTACTGACTGACCGGGCAGACAAGGCTGCGCGCCATTAGCCCACCCGCCCAAGATCCTGATCACGACGGCCACGCCACCATCCGCGGTGCTGGTGAGGCCATGGCCGCCGGGACAGGGCCTCAGAGCCTCGGGGGAGAACCCCAAGGGCCCTGGGGGGCAAGCTTCGGTGGCTGCAGGACGAGCCCGAGGGACCGCTTGCAGACCCTGGAGGTCCACCGGGGGAGAGGCCCTATAGGGCCACGCGCGCAGGCGCCTCCGCACTTCTGGAGGCGGGCCTGAGCGCCGCTGGGACAGGCCTCGCCTCCGCTCCGGGCACGCCCCAGAGCGCCATCCTCCGGTGCCATCGTCGCGCCCGCGCGGAAGAGTCGGGGAGGGGCGGGCCTTCTCAGAAGGCTCAGGAGGCCTCTTGCCTTCCGAGGAGCTCGCCGGGCTTTTCCAGAAGCCACATGGGGGCTGCTCGATGGGCCGGCGGGCTTCCGAGGGCCCCGCCGCCTGCCGAGAGGGCCTGCCCCTCGCACATGTCCCTCGGCACGCCGCCGCCGGCTCATGCCTGGGCTTGCTTGGGTCAGGAGTCGGATCCAGGGAGGGGAGGAGCACGCTCCAGATCACAGTCCGTACGTTGCGCTCGGACTTGATCTGATTCAGACTCGGAGTGAGATTGCGAACAGAGGGCGTCGCAGAGAGCGCAGTCTCTACGCTGTGATCCTGTCGAGTTGGACTCCGAGAAGGCCACGTCGTGCCCTACGTCATGCCGAGACCCAGGCCGGTCGGGCCTGGGCTGCTGGGGCCCCAGGGCCGCATCGTACATACGGCTTCGCCGGTCATTACGCAACCTCCTCCTCCTCCTCCTCCTCCTCCTCTTCCTCCTCCTCCTCCTCCTCCTCCTCCTCCTCCTCCTCCTCCTCCTCCTCCTCCCCGCTTCGCCTTAGCCCAGCCTCTCTTCGGCTGCTTCCAGTAGGCCGGCCCGGCTTCCTCTGCCCCCTGCGCACGCTCCGGGCTTCGCGGGCGTGCGTCGATGACCCGGTGCCTGCGCCAGACCTTGCCTTCCAGCCAGCCCAGCTTCTCGGGCGACACGCTATTCGTCGTAGCCCCGGCTGTTCTGCATGCTCAGGGCAGTGGAGTCGCGGCCCAGCGCCCCGGCCCGGCGCGCCCGCCCCTCGGGAGGTCGGCTCCGTGAGCCGCGAGGCCTCCCTGGAGGCAGAGGTGGTGGAGACGGACCCGGAGTGCAGCCCGTGACAGACCGTGGGGCGTCGCGTGCTGGGGGGGGGAGGAGGAGGAGGAGGAGGAGGAGGAGGAGGAGGAGGAGGAGGAGGGAGGAGGAGGAGGAGGAGGAGGAGAGGAGGAGGAGGAGGAGGAGGAGGAGGAGGAGGAGGAGGAGGAGGAGAGGAGGAGGAAGGAGGAGGAGGAGGAGGAGGAGGAGGAGGGGAGGATGAGGGAGGGGGGGGTGGAGGAGGAGAGGGAATGAGAGGAGGAGGAGGATGAGGAGGAGGAGGATGGAGGGAGAGAGGAGGAGGAGGAGGAGGAGGAGGAGAGGAGGAAGGAGGAGGAGAGGAGTAGGAAGGAGGAGAGGAGGAGGAGGAGGTAGAGAGGCGAGAGGAGAGGGAGGAGGAGGAGGAGGCGCGGAGGAGGCGGAGGAGAGAGGCAGAGGAGGATAGTCGAGGAGGGAGAAGGGAGGAGGAGTCTGAGGAAGGAGGATGAGGAGGAGGAGGAGGAGAGGAGGGAGGAGAGGAGGAGGATGAGGACGCGGAGGAGGAGGCGGAGGAGGAGGAAAAGGAGGGGGAGGAGGAGAAGGAGGAGGAGGAGGAGGAGGAGGAGGAGGAGGAGGAGGAGGAGGCGGAGGAGGAGGAGGAGGAGGAGGAGGAGGAGGAGGAGGAGGAGGAGGAGGGGGGGGTGCGGAAGGGGGGGTGGGGGGCACTGAGGGCTGCGGAAAGAGGGGTCCTTTGGGGCCCCTCGGAACCCCCGCTCTGACGCGTCGACTCTCGGGAATTGTGCGTTTGCGGTTCTCGAGAGGGCGCCGCGGCCGTCATTTTCCAGGCCTGCGCCCGCCAGGTTTGGGCCCGAGGTCGTTTGGGGCCTCGAGGGCCCGAAAAGTGCACCTTGCCTCCCCCCCACACCATTGATCGCCCCACCATTCCGCGTTGCCCAAGACGGTCAGGGCCCCAGGACTCGGGGGTGGCCCGCCGCCGTTTTCACCAGACCACGTTCTGCTAAATGGGGTTCCGTCCATCCCCGAGGCCCAAATCTCCTCTAGGAATCCTAGATGGGGTCCGAGCAGATGGGTCGGAGGATCGCGCTGCATCGGCGATGCATCGGCGATGCATCGGCGAGGCGGTGCGATGCCCCGACCCCGTCTACTCCGACCCCACCTGGGAGGCCTCTGTCTCCGAAGCAATGATGTTCCAACCGAGATGGGCCTCCTCGATCTCGGCCTCCAGCTGTCGCTGCCAGAGTCGGGCCTGTCCCTCTACAGGAGGAACCTTTGAACATAGTCCAAAAACCGTCGGGGGACGATTTTTCGACTATCTTTTGAATATTTTGGAGTCTCTTCCGAGTATTTTTCATTCTCCGTCCAGAATCCGCCTGTAGGGGGACATGCCCGACCTGACCCCAGGGCCGTCGAGAGCGGATCGGGGACGAAGGACTGCCCCCCGGAGACGCCGCTGGGACCTCGGGGGCCGCGTGCTGGCAGAAGCCCGACCGGCGGACGTCAGGGGACCAGGGCACCGCAAGCCAGGCCTCTGCAGATCCCAGCTTTACGTCGGGCCTGTCCCTCTACAGTTTTTTTTTATGTGTCAAAATTGTCAAACAATAGTGTGGGGACGATTTTGGGAGTACTTTCTCACCAGTCCAAAAGTTCCTTGTAGGGGGACAGGCCCGACCTAATCCCAGCTGGAGGAAGCGAAGTGGAAGACGTTCCGGCGCACGGCTGCAGTTTTTCCTGGTGTGCGACAGAGTCCTGGTTCATCAGAGTCCCCGCTTCTGGAGCTTGGAGGCTGACCGGCCTGCATCGAGGAGCAAGAGGCGGCACAAGCTGATGCTTGTGTAGCTGACGTTCCTTCTGCGCCAGTTGTCCTGTGATCACAGGCGGCTGCCGTGTGCTGTGAGGACAGTCCCGGAGGCCCCGCGCGGCGCGCAGAGGTTGTACTATCCTGTGCGCACGTCCGCCCCGCAAGGCGTGGGATGACGCTTGCGCGGCGACGATCCGACACAAGTCCGACGCGAATCCAACGCGAGCCCGACGTAAACTGGTGCTCGAGTCGCCGCGCGAGGCCTCCAGGGTTTCCCTCCCAGGTATCCCCTCATCCGCCCCGTCCTCCCCCTCCTCCTGTGGTGCTTCTCAGCCTTGTCTGCGCCCTCCCGCTCAAGCCGGGAAGGGTGCGTGTGTCCAGGCTTCCCGACTGGGGTCCCAGGTAGATCGGGTCGGAGAATCGCGCCGCATCGCCGATGCATCGCCGATGCGGCTCGATGTGGATCCCGGTTTTCTCCACCGATGCATCGCCGATGCATCGGCGATGTATCGGCGATGCGGCGCGATCCTCCGACCCCATCGTCTCGGACCCTGTTTGGGAAGCCTCTAGGGCGTAACCGGTCATGAGGCCGACGGAGCCCCGCCAGCCGATCTTGGACGGCTGGGTATACCGAGCGACTGGAGCACCGCTGCTTTCTCGAGCCCTGGGCCGGGTACCTCCAGCGGCCACGGCCTGCATTGCATCTTCGGGGGATCTCGTCTGTCCAATGAATTGCGCCCTTTTCTCGGAGGTGCCGCGGGTTCGACGTGAATTCGGCGCGGGCTCGACTGGTATCGACGAGGATTCGAGGCTTTGGTAGCTTCGACGCCCATTCGAGGCGCATGGCGTCGCGGTGGAACAGACAAGGTACCTCGAAGGTGCAACATAACATGGCGTGCCCCGCGCCGTCGTGAGCCCTCTCCGCATCGCCTTCTCTGTGTGCCTCCGCGGAGTCGCTGGCGTGCATGCTCCGCCTGACTTTGGCGGTGCTGTGTGATCTGACGTGTCCGAGCACAGACTGCGCTGAGCATGTCAAACGCTCCGCTTCCAGCTACTTGCTCACAGCGCCGTCATCGATCGTCAACCTCGCCGTCGTCGCCATCGCAGTCGCCATTCTGCTACCGCCGCTCGTCGTCGTCGTCGTCGTCGTCGTCGTCGTCGTCGTCGTCGTCGTCGTCGTCGTCGTCGACGCCCTCGTCGTCGTCGTCGTCCTCCTCGAATCGGCAGCTGCCTGGGCCTGGGGGGCGCGGGGGCAAGCCCAGGGAGCCAGAGAGCCCGCCGCAAGCGAAGGCTAGTCGTTGTGACCGGGGGCACTTGAGTTACGACGCTGAAATCTGATCTTGCTCCTCCCTCGCCTCGCCCTCCGCGTCCTTCTCGTCCTCCTCGTCCTCATCGTCGTCGTCGTCCTCGTCGTCCCCCTCCTCCTCCTCCTCCTCCTCCTCCTCCTCCTCCTCCTCCTCCTCCTCCTCCTCCTCCTCATCCCCCTCCTGTTACTACTCGAACGGTAGTTCTGTCCACCTGGGTTCCCCTTGCCGCGCCGTTTTTGTTTTAGGGCACGGAAGCTGCCCAAGCCTCCGCGCCCGCTTTGTGCGCGCCTTTTTCCATCAAACTTATTTCGCCGCGCTATTGGAAAATACGCTTTTCACCTCCACATGCTCAGTTCTAGTCTGTAGCGGATCAGATTTACCCTTGCTCCCACCACAGCCGCCACGTGTCGCCTCGCGTCGACGGCACTGACTTCCACCTTCCGCCGCTTTCGATTTCGGTCATCGCCTTCAACATATCCGCCTTCGTGCACCTTTCCCTCTTCGCTGTGGCAGGAAACGTTGCTCTAGGGTCCGTCGGGGCTGTACCAGCCCATCCGCCAGGACCCGCGACCAAGAGCGTGCACAACCAGTACTTCATCAATGACAACACCGCCAAAACCTACCAGGACCGCTTTGCGACCCATCCCGGGCATGCTCGGACTGCGTCCGCGCAGCTCGCATACCTCAAATTGTCACTGCCCCCGCCCGTGGGGGTAGCCTCATGTGTTATTCACATCAGCGGCGTCAGACCAAGGTCCAGAGCTTCTTGGCATTGTGTCATCGCGTGGAGGACTTCATAGAACACATCGCGCCATGCCCAGGAGCCAGGACCTTCGGCCTTTTGGGAGGGGCGTGCGTGGCAAGCACCTGTCCGAGCGGGCTCGGCAACGCCCTGATGTCCTCGATGCCTCGCACCACCTGTCCCGAAGATGCTTTGAGCTGCCTGACGTCCGCGCCGTAAGTCTTGCGCGTGGCCAGAAATCTCTGGGTGGCTGGCCAGGCTGCACCCGCAGTCTGGTCATCTGGTGGTCCCCTCGGAACCCGAGCGACGCCCGCCAACAGCATTTGGGCGGCGTCAAATTCAACGCCCAGAGGCTCGTCGGCGAGCAGTGGAAGGGCGCTCGCATCATCCAGTTTACCCAGCGTGGCGAACGGCTGCTGGCAGCCGGCGCTTGGCAGGACCAGGGCAGGGGGTCCGATGATCGCGTTATCGACGTCCCCGAGGATGCCGCCAGCGTCCCCGAGGGTGGGCCACCATCAGCGCCGTCGGTGTTGCCCGAGGAGGCCGACAGCGACTTCTCCGGCCACTTCTAACAGGTGATGTCGGAAGCTCGGCAGGAGGTCGGGCGCCGAGGAGCTGGCCCGGGAGCTGCGGGAGCTGGAAGGCACCGACAGCCAGCGCATGGTTTGCGCTGCTGTCGTTCACGCGAGTGGCCTCGGTACCTGGAGACGCAACAGCAACGCCAGCGTCAGCACATCCACGCTCAGCGCCACTGCTACTTGCGCGGCGCCTCTTTAGACAACTACGCCTAGCCAGAGGATGATGAGGGGCAGAACGCGCGGAGGTGCACCTGGGCTCTGGAGCGCGAGAGGCGTTCTTGAGCTGCCAGGATTGCAACTATGTTGCCGGCGCGCTCACCACAGCCGTGCTCAAAGTGTATGCCGCCCAGTCCGCGGCAATCATGCGCGACGCTGATCTACTAACCAAGGGGGCGGTGTCGAGGCTGTCCAGGGAGGTGGCCGCCGCCGTCCTCGAGGAGCTTGCTCTCTGGGTCAAATACTGGTGTTTCGGGCGACGTCGTCTCAGAGGCGCTCGGAACTTGGCGGGCGCCAGACGCGCGTCCAAGTGGGGGCGCCGCAAGGGGCCTGGCGGCAAAGCGGTCGGGGTCATCCGGCGCCGCGCGGCGCTGAGAGGCTTCCGCGACGCGGGCGCCGGGGCCCTGGAGACGTTCGCCGGCGCGGCGAAACGGGCGCCCCAGCGCATTCTGTCCTCAGAGGCGGCTCGTCGCCCAGACTGGGCATGCGTCGCCGTGGACGTCGAGAAGACTAGCCTGCAAGGCATGGCTAATGCCGAGATGCCGGAACAGGGTGAAGCGCCGCGAGAGGTGGCGCCTTGCCGCCCGGCAGTGCTGCCATCCTCAGGCTGGCCCCAGGCTGTGAGTCCTTCGACGAGCGGACCGAGCGCCTGCGTCGCATCGAGCCGGGCACGGGCTGCAAGCATGCGCCCAGAGTTTTCTTCACGAAGCTCGCCGGGGGCACGCGCTCGCCCAAGTGCAGCGCTGAGCCGACGCGACGGGGCCTTGAGCTTGAGGTCAGGCGCGACTCGTCCGGCACCTGTACCTTCTGCGGCTCAGAGTCAATGCTCGTGGTGTCCAAACGCGTTAACGATCTCAAGATCGCGGGGCGCAATGGGCGCGTCGACCGATTCATCGGCCAGATCGAGAGCGTTTTCGGCAAGATGAAGGGGAACTGCGACGACTTCATCAACTGCGGGGTCCACCAGCACCGTAGTGCCGATGGTATTTTGACGCTCGACCAGGACGAGTACATCGACGCGCTGACCCCCGCTGGGCGCGTCGACCTGGTCAAGTCGAAGGCCGGCGAGCCAGCCAGAGGTCCGCTCCTGGATCTCTCTCTCTCTCTCTCTCTCTCTCTCTCTCTCTCTC